ACCAGAAATTATTTTGGGATCTATGCTACAGGATTCCATAATAGGTGAAACCTCAAATATACCACGATATACCTAAATGAATCCCTATTAGAAGGGTCTAAGTACATACCCATAGTTTATGTGAGAATATGTGGTCTGATTATAAGAGTATACTAATTAATAAATTATAATCAAAAGTGAACCAAAAGTCTACTCAAGAACCCATTTGAGAAATTACGTGTAAAATCCACACACATCCCATTACAATTTATTTTCATTACATCTGGTTATCTGCACTAATACATACCTGGTAGAGTTCTTCTAAATTGTATTTAATTGAAGTACTATTCTGAATAGCTTCCACTGCTTCTTTCAGTTTCTGCCATGTTTCATCTGTGTAGTTTTCTGGTAATTTAGGTTTATCTAGATGATATGTAAAAGATTGGTATTAGAATAATATGTAGGATATAGTAACCAAAGATCTATAACACAACATTACAATTTTTAGGATGGTATGATTTTCATAACTATTATAGCTAAATATTAAAGTAACCACTGTATTTAAGCTCAGTATTAATAAAATTTAAAATGCCAGAATACTGTTTAAGGCATTTTGACTCACCTATTAAAACTGAAGGTGAGGGTTTTTTTTCTCCTATTGATTGTATTGCTTCAAAAAAATAAAAATTCAAGAATGACAGATAAAAAAATAACAATCCTGATCATCTTGTGTAAAACCTGTATCAACATGAATGAGTCTTGTACATGAGATTTAAAATTCTGAGTATCTACTAAGTGCAAGGTATTTTATAAACTTCTTAATCTTTTCAACAATTCCCTGGAGTAAATATTATCATCCCTATTTTACAACTGAGGAAAAGGAAACTGAAGTGGGAACTCATTTGGTGAGCTTGCCCAAGGTCATCATACCTAGTAAAATGGCAAAGCTGGGATTCTAATCCAGGTCTGTGTGACCCCCAAATTTATGCAACATCTACATAAATGGAAAGAAATATCTTTAACCAGTGTTTGAAGTACCTTTATGATCAGAATGAATTTTAAAATATTAAAACAAATGACTCCAAAATCTATGCAGCATTTTCAGAATGTAAAGAAACCTCTTAATGTAAGCTTTAAACTTCACTGGCCAGCAAAAAAAAAAAAAAAAAAAAATTTAATTAAAGCATCCAAATGCCTTAATAATGTGTTTTTACTTTAGAGAGAGAAAAATGAACAAAATCTCTGGAATTAATTTGCAAATGAAATTAGGATAACAGCTCATTTCCTAAAAATTATTGGTTATTGATGCATTTTTAAGTGAAATAATGAACATATTAATAATTACAATTCATATCCAGTTTAGAAAACTATACTATTAAATCACAAAGAATAAAACACTTGAGAGCCTAGAGATGGGAAGGAGATGATATAAAAAAGGGTTAAAAATAGACAACATCCTAATCTTCTGCTTGAGACAAAATAGAGCATATTCCTGATTTCTATACCAATGCTGAAAACACAAGCACAGAGAATCTAATTTTCTCAATGCTAATATTTAGCCACAAGACATTTGTCTGGTAAATATTACTTAAGTTTATTCATTTACTTCTCCATTTAACAAGTATTTTAACATCTATTACCTGCCAGTTAGGGGTGGTAAAAAAGTAAGTCAGAAAAAATAGAAACACATTCAACAGATAAAAATTAATTCAGCTCAAAAACATTTTAAATGTTGATTTTATACTTGCATCAATGCATTCATTATACGAAACCACGTATCTCAAACACAATACAAGCAAATTTTCCTAAAATCTGTAGGTCAATACTTTAAAACCTACTTAAGTGAGGAAAAAATGTAGTAATTGTTCCTATCTTTAGACTAGTGGTACACAGAGTTACTACTTCTGTGTATACACAATATTTTTTCACTTCCAAACCCTACCTTTGGAAAGAAATTCAGAGACCCTAAATATTTTTCTCCAAATATTTTTTCCACAATGAATTTCTTGAATATAGTACAACATTATACACCTATTATAAATCTTATATGAGCATGGAAAGATCACCATTGCTACCTGCATTTATTTCTAGGGATAGAATGTGGCCTACTGAAGCAGAAAAATAAAAATCTCAGCAGTGCCAAGGCTCACTATGCACCTGAACTAAATAAACCTCTTTAGAATACAATTTCTCACCTGTAAAATCCGGATCAAACATACTGTAGATTGTCAATGTTATAAGGAATAACAGATTAGATACAATAGGTTCAGAAAGACCTCGAAACACTGCAAACACCCGGTGGATGCTTCAGCACAAGGATACTAACCACCCCCGGAAAATGAACCCTCCACCAAAAAAAGGACCTCCCCTCCATCTCATTGATTATGCATAAAACATTAGGCCACCTCTATACTGTTTAATATATTAACATAAATAGAGCACGTGACCGCTCAAGTGTCAAATCCTTAGGTGATTATGGATTTTGGCCTTGGTTACCTTTAAAGTTCTTGATCACTAACTTCTTAGCAGAGCCAGGCTTGCTGTTAGCAAAGCTAGAGACGGTGGTAGATGATTTGGCTAGGCCGTTTGCATGATGCACCGAAGCCACAGAAGAGATTAATATACTCTTATTTTTAAGTTGCTGCTGCTGCTGAGATGTTGCAGCAGTTGGTGAAGATGAGGAGGAGGAAGAGGAGGATTCCTCAGCCATCTTCGCATCAAACCCTACAAACTCCAGGGTGTCTTCAAAACGCAGCTTCTTCTGTATCGGTACGTGGCTGGAAGCAGCCACTGAAACCCCCAAGCAGTAGGACGAGGTTGAAGGGGATGCCGAATCCCTGGGTTGTAAAGGAGGAGTGGAGGAGGAGGAAGACGTGGAATCAAAGTCTTCTCTCTCGTTACTACTGTTACTGCTGCTGCTGCTGTTTAACTTTCTCTTCTTGGCAGAGGTGGGCGGAGTGGTGCTGGTATTACCATCAGTGGCAGATCTGACCTCCTGAGCAGCAGCAGCAGCTGAGGGATTGGGGGAAGAAAAACCTGTTGGAAACATGAAAATAGCGGGGTCAACAGGCAGAGGAGCATCAAAACCCTACGTTTATATGCCTGCGTGCGTGTAGGAGAGAAGGTGGCAATGCTAGAGGGGGAAGGGAAGAAAGAAGAGAGGAGAAACACAGAGGACAAGAAGGAAAGTGAAGGGGGGGGCAAACCGGGGGAATGGGAGGGTTTGGGAAGGCGGATAGGCTGACACCAGAAGTGAGGAGAACGAGGGGGGAGAGCGAATGAGGAGGCAGACAGGTAAACGGCCGTGCCGTCCCCCCTCCCCTGCTTTTCAATCTCTCCCCCCCCCCCTTTTCTGCAGGAGCGACTCAAGAGAGTCTGTGAGGCTGCAGCTCCTCCTCCTTTTCTCCCCCTCTCTGGGAGGGGAGATGCTGTGGTTGGGGGGAGGGGAGGGGGAGCGAACCAGAGCTTGTTATTGTCAATAGCACAAGAGGCTAAAGATGGCGCCACTTCCGGTCACGAGGCACCAAAGGAGGGGCGGCGTCTCTCCCCAGGAGTGGGGGGTGGAGAGAAACACTGCAGCCACCCGGGGGTTGGGGAAGCTGGCTAGTGGTGGGGCGGCGGGAAAGGGGCAACCAAAGCACCTCAAATGCTCTTGTTAGTTCGTTCCGGCTCCTGTTCCCTCTCCCCTTCCCTGCCATCTTCCTCCCCAAACCCACCCATAACTCCCACCCCTTCCTTAACGGTCCCGCGGGGAGCTTCGCGCCGCAGCGCCCTTACCGGAAGTGACTGGGCAGACACTTTTCATAGCGCCCAGATCCCGAAGCCCCCAGGTCCGCAGGACTCCAGGGGGGGGGGATGGGGGAGGGAACAAGGGGGGGAAGAGAAATGGAAAGGGAGGAGGGGGCGGGCCTTTGAGACACCTTCAGAGCTCCTGATTGGATATTTCTGACCGTGAGGTGGGCGGGAGCAAGGGGTGGGGGTGGCGGGAGAAGGAGCGGGAAGGAGCCTGGAGAGGAGGGGAGGTGGTGACGGCGAGGGGCGGGGTAAGCTAGCTGGGAAAAAAGAGAAGAGAGGGAGGAGGTAGGGAGTAAAAAGTAAGGAAGAATGGAAACTTTGAAAGAGATAAAGGAATAGGAGGGGTTGCAAGGTGACGGGAGTAACCCGAAATAGAAGAAAACATAATCATGCTATTATGCCTGCTGCTGCAGAACGTCACGATTTTAAGATAGGAAAGAAAACCTTAGGAAGCAAAGGAGTTTTTAATTCCATGTAGCAACAAATTGTTTCTCTTTTGTGTCAAGGACACCAAAGACCCAATGCTGAATAGAGCCTGAATTTTTTTGTTCTTTTCTCGGTGATAAAGGCATAAATCCTTTTACCTTCCTACCAGAACATTTTTTAACATGGCCGACCAGAGTCAAAGGTGCAATCTAAGGCCAAGAAACAGCCCCCACCCAGCCCAAATCCAAGGAACACTCCCTACTCCCAACCCATTAGTCATTAACTCAGCAATTTGTAGACCTAAGCTAAGACCCGCTTCTTTTACCAAATCTCAGTTTATACGCTATATGGAAGAAGACATTTTTAGGAGAACAATATTGGCAAAAGTCAATGTTTTAGTCCAGAGTGGTGGTGCACCCCTGTAATCTCAGCAACTGAGAGGCTGGGGCAGGAGGATTGTAAATTCCAGCCTCAGCAAAATTCTCCAAGCTCTCAACCGTAAGCACCTAGCAAGACCATCTCAAAACAAAACAAAACAAAACACCACAGCTCAAGGTGTTCCATGAGCCAAAGTTGTACATTTGATGATCTTTGCTGGTACCAGGGATTGAACCCAGTAGCGCTTAACCCTTGAACCACTGCCTCAGCCCTTATTGAGACAGGATCTAGCTAAATTGCTTAGGGCCTTGCTAAATTGCTGAAGCTGATTTTTAACTTGCCATCCTCCTACCTGGGCCGGGGATTACAATCCGCAGCGGGGCGGGGCGGGGGGGGGGGGGTTCCTTATCAATAATCAAATGGACAGCTGGGCTCAATGGCACATGCCTGTGTGATCCCAGTGACTCAAGAGGCAGAGGCAGGAGGCTTGCAAATTCCAGGCCAGCCTCAGCAAGAGAAATCATGTCTCAAAATAAAAAACAGATAGGACTAGGGAAGTGGCTCAGTGATTAAGAGCCCCTGGGTTCAATCCCTGGTACCCTCCCCCAAAAAAAGTTTGAAACATAGTTAAATTAGCAACAATAAACCTTGTAAATTCCCTCTTGGAAGTTTCTACTTAATCCTAGGGCATCCTCAGAGGGAGAGAACATAATGTCAAAAGTAAATTTTGCTAACCTGTTGATCATTCTAGATGCAGAAACATTGAATAAGCACATATCCAAAGGCTTTATATGCCAGATGCTATGCCAGGACCCTGCCTCTGAGAGGCCAGTGGGGGAAGATAGTCTCCAAACTAGTTTCCACAACATTGTACAAAAGTACAATGTGCTGTGGGAAACAAGAAGTTTGGAGGAAATCTGGAATAGTCAGGGTTTCATCCAGCTGATGTTTATGCTGAGTCTCAAAATGGGAACTGTCCCCAAAAAAAGGACAACAAGGGGAGAGGATGCACTGTGGACAATGAAAACGTGGGCAGAGCAATGAATTGTGAAAGGGCTTGGCCTGTTTATGGGTACATGGAAAGAGCAGGGAGGCTAAAAATCAGGATGTCTCTTTGGAAGTGAGGAAGATGAGAGGTTGCAAGGTACCTGGCCCACTAAGCCAAGAACTTTGGAGTCTACCTGGTAGGCAGAGGTAGACAACAGGGAGACAAGCAAGTGGGGCTTTTGTAAGGGAAGTGATAGGCTTGTGGTAGACCAAAAGCAGCTTACATGGTATAACATGTGACAGGGAAATCCGAATACTGCAAATAAATCACCTTTCCAACTTTGTTTAAACAGACTCACCTTTTTTATTTATTATTATTATTTTTGTCTTGAAAAGTCCTGGTTAAAAGGCAAATCTTCCTGGAAAGTTACTACCTTGGGGATTACCAGCCCTTACCTTTGTGTTGTTTGTGACAGCCTGCTGAGAGAAAGGCTCTGATGGAACTTAGGCCCAGGAAGAAGAAAGAGAGAAAGGCCAGAAAGAGGACATATGGAAGCACTTTTGTTTTGAATATACCATGTTGTTCTTGCTGCCCAAAATGAGATGGTAAGCTCTTAAGGCCAGGAAAGATGACCTAAAACATTAAGCCTCCCTTTGCTGTGTCTTACATTTCACACAATGCTGAACTGGGAAGGGGTATATATTCCCCAAAGATAAACTTAAAATAACCCTTTTTACTCTAAACTTTTTAAATTTGGATTCATCAGGACTTAGTGCTACGGAAAGGCATATGTGTCCAAAAAATGTGCATAAGCCCAAGGTACTTTGGAAGGATATTCTAACAGGACAATGGAAAGGTCCTGACCCAGTAATTGTCTGGAGTCCGGGGTCTGTTTGTGTGTTTCCACAGGGAGAACAGCAGCTGATTTGGATTCCAGAGAGATTAACCAAGGTCCTGACCCAGTGATTGTCTGGAGTCCGGGGTCTGTTTATGTGTTTCCACAGGGAGAACAGCAGCCGATTTGGATTCCAGAAAGATTAACTAAAGCGATTTCTACAGACCAAAAAGAAGATGATTTGGCTCAAATCCATAACAACTGATATCCAAAATTCCAGTTTGGCTATTCTTACATCTGCAACAGAACCAGGATGCTTTTTTCAATATCTATTTTATTATTGCCCTTTGCCATATCATGAAGTTCTATTTTGTTTTTTGAGCTCATACAGACCTAGGTTAATGTTTTGCTGATCAGTTCTATTTTTTGACTATAGAGTTTTTAAACATTGCAATGGAGATTTCACCTGTAAAAAGTTATAAGGCCTTTACTATAATGTTATGTGTTGTATGTATTATATTATGTGTGCACACTTGTGTTTTGTGTTATATGTTTGAATGTATGTATGTCCATATATCATATATGATGAGCGCTCATGATAAAATGGATCCAAATATTTTTTTTTTCACGTGATTTATATGGTTTAATTTAAATTGGGTAAACAACTGTTGAGGATTGTTTTAATATGTAAACAAAAAAGAAGGTTAACAGATCTGTTTGTTTACTTTCACCTTTCCTTTTCATTATATTTAATAATTCTCTTAAAGATAATGTAAATTGTTAAGAAAATTGTTTTCTTTTAGTGCCTTCTGTAATGTTACATAATTTTTTCTTTAGCCATTATTGCCAGAATTCCTATCTTCATCCCAGTGCTGGTGAAGTCAAAGATAAAACCAATCTACAGCTTCTACAATAGCCATCACTGAACTGCTTGCAGAACTTGCCTGGACACATTGTGAGCTCACCTGTATGCATTGTGAACTATCTGTTGGTGCAGCGACTTGTGGTAGTGTTGGGGTATTTTTGCTGATGATGTCACCAGTGGTACAATTTTTCAAAGGAGCCCTCAATTGGCTTAATGTCATGGCATTTTGCATCCTCCTCTACTAGTGATGGTCTAAAATTTGGGGGCCAACAGAGGTGAGGCAAAGAACCTCACCCCCCCACTGGTGCAAAGGCCTATCCACAAGTATAGCTGTATGCTGGACCGGTAGTCAGTGACGGGTATGATCCAATTGCAGTGGTACCAACCTAAGACAGGAGGCTGACGCCTAGAAGTCAGTTCATCCGATGATGGGTAAGGACCATATGTTGAATTGGACTGCCTAACAGACACGGTCCCTAAGCCACATGCTTGTTGTTTAAACAGAGAGGGGGAGATGTTGAGAGCCACAGCCGAAGGGGCCCCAGCAAACTTCCAGCTGCCAGCAAACTTCCAGCTGCCGGCTGATGATTGGCTCACAGCGGCCCCAGCAACATCTAGCTGATTGGCTCCTCAGCCCCAGCAACATCTAGCTGATTGGCTCCTCTGCGGTGATGCTCATTGGACTGTTTCCCTGCCCTTTCAGACCACGGAGCTGCTCATTGGGGGACTTTTTTGGCTCCGCCCACGTGACCCAGCCAATCGGCCTCAAGAGCAGGAGGATTGTGGGAGGTGGAGAGAAGCTTGTGTGGGAGAGAGAGGCTTGTGGAAAGCCGGTGGTGGCAGTTGAGGCTCTGAGGGTTTTTCCTGAGAGGCTGTTTTGTTTGGCGTGTGTGGTTCTAAAAATAAAGTTAGTTTCTTTTGACAAGTGGCTCCTGATTGTGCCCAGCCAGACTGCGGCACTGAACAACCATGTAAACGCAGAGTAAAAACTTACTAAATATTTTATTGAATGAGAAAGAAATAATGCTGTGTCTCTACAAAGGAGGATTAACTGTCTAATTTTCAGGACCTACTGCACAAGGTTGTTCTAATTCATGTAGTTATATTCCTTAGAAGGGAATATGGAAGTGCTATTTTTAAATTTATGAGTATTGGTGCAATTGAAAGGGAATGGACAAAGATGAGAGAAAGTTGTGTTTGCCATACAAAGATAAGCTTTTATACGGACCTAAAGGATAGCTGAGTCTTGTTAATATTCAACACATTCTAGTAATAATAGCTCCCAAACTCAAATGATTATCAAAGCCCTTTCAGTCTTCTGAGTTACATCTTCATTTGAAAAGCCTGGATCCTTTCAGCTCTTGAGCTATAGCTCACTTTGAACAACCCAGTAGTGTAAACTACTATTAAGTTCTCCATGAAATATCCTTAGGAGAATTTTGTGGAAAGAATAACTGTTTCTCTTTTTCTCAAATGATTAATAATTATATTCCTTTTGACATTTTACAAGCTCACTTTATTTCATTCCAGATCAACTCTCACATATTTAGCATATCTTAATATGGTTATGTAATTTTAATGATTTTTATTTAACATTCACATTTTGTGGCACAAAACAACTTAGATACATGATGTGTGAGGACCAGAACTTACTTTTTTCTTATATCTTCAAACCAATTTAAAAAGATGATAACTTCCCATGTTATTTTGTGAAAACACCTTTTACATCAAGAATAACTGCTTGGGGCCAGCAAACACATAAGCATATATGCAATATACCCAAACATTTGCCAAATAGACTTAAATGCATTCTCAACACTCAAATTCAAATATATTTTTCAAGGTTTAACTCAATGAACCCACAAATAATCAAGATGTATAATATAGAACACCATACAATTATAGTCATTATCAGAGTAAAGCAGATTGGACACTTAATACATATTCCATATATAGAATCTTTTCATCTTGTGATTTCAACTCATACCTCAAAAACATTAATTAAACTTTACAATGTGGCCAGATGAGGCATAGTTATTATTGGCTCTCTTTTAACCAACCTATTTATAAAGGTAAATATCTGCATAAAGAAAGAATGCAAATGAGGACTGGTTTTCCTAATGTCCATTTCTATAAGCACCTCCCTAAAAAAGGCAGAGTACAAAATGTTTTCCTCTTTTGATCACAGGGATTCCCCCAGGGTGTTAGGTTTTAGTTCTTCTCCAAACTTCTCATGGCAGATTTTCAGACAGACAGACAGACATTCCTGGAAGGCTTGTTATCCAGTGAGTGGGATTTTCCTTAAAAATGGGAGAGACAGCCAGGCTCTGTGGCACATGCTGTAATCCCAGCAAATCTGAGGCTGAGGCAGAGGGATAGCAAGTTCAAGGCCAGCCTCAGCAACTTAGCAAGACCCTGTCTCAAAATTTTAAAATATTTTTTTATAGGCCTGGGTGTGTAAGTAGCTTAATGTAAAATGCCCCTGGGTTGATTGGGCTCAATCCCCAGTTACTTAATGTGTCAAGATAAAAAGAACTGCTGGGTAAAAGGTAGTTGGTGTTTTGCTATCATTTTTTCTGAAGGACCATCTTTAAAGCCTGGAAATACAGACAGTAACCAAGCTGTATTGAGATAGTATATCAAAATAAGGGTTTGTTATGTGCTACCAACAGCAGTGGACTGTTATGAGATGGCTGAGGAAGTCAAACATCATTTTCCTATCCTGAGGTTGTTTTATAAAAAGGAACAAATACTGAACCTATGGTACTAAATAAAATGTGAACATAACACAGAACTCATATTTAATAAAATATTTTATTGTCTATGGAAAACTACTGCATCAACTGAAGACTCACTTGGTACATCAACCATTTGAGTACTTAGACCCTTAGCTCAGAGATTTTAACTGTTATACCTCTGAACCATCTAGAAAGCAGATTTAAAAACTAAAAATTAGGGAAAGGCCATTTTCCCCAGGGGTCTGGGAGTGGGGAACCAGACCAGCCACAGATTACTTCTCACTTTGGTGCTACCAAACACTTATTATGGAGTTGCAGGGCCTATTTTAACCTTTTGTACATTTTATCAAGGACTTTCAGTCCCCCTCCCCGAAACCTGCTTTAATGTTTGATCTTCTAATGGCATTAAGGTCTTTCTTTTTCTCAAAAGCAAGGCCAATTTAGGTTTAAATCAGTAGTTCCCAACTCTGACTACACAATAGAATCACCTGGGGAGTATTAAAAAAACCATGAATGCCCAGGTCCAAACCTATCCAATTCAACCAGAATCTCTTGTATGTAGGGCCTCAATTATCAGTATTAAGAATGTCAGGTGATTCCATGTGCCTCCAAGGTTGAAAGAACAAAGCTGCAGGTGAAATAAGCAAAACCTGGTGGGGCTGATAAACCCTTTCACACCTAAAACTTCATAATTTAATGCCTAAAATTTCACAATTACTTATTCACCCCTTTGGTAAAACAATGTTTCCCTCTCTAGGAATCTTTCTCAAATTTAAATTAGCCAAGGGACCTAGTTCTTCCCTTTAAGGTGAATGCCTCTTGGCTAATAAAGTTCTAAATATTTGGACAGCCTTCACGCCTATAATCCCAGCTACTCAGAAGGCTGACAAAGGAGGGTTGGAATTTCAAGGTCATCTTTGGCAATTTTGTGAGACCCCCTTAGAAAAACAGTCCTAAGTGCCTGAAGGTAAACCCTAGTAGAAGGGGCTGCAATGGGGAGTGGGGAAAAGTAAGATTACCTACAAGGAAGGAAGGATTTCTGAGAGTCCATTTTGCTAACTTCACAGTATTACTGCCTAGTGCCAAGCCTGCTCTGTAATGAGTATATACTTAAAGGTCTAGTCAAGTCTGACAGCTTATCTCAACTGCCAAAATTATGTTAAAGTAAATTTTACATATTTTTCATAAGTAAAGCAAAGAGTAGACATTAGGAATATAGGTTTAGAGCTCTCTGATAAATGCCCACCTTCTGAATTACCACTCACCATATGGAAGTTTCCATTACCAAGTTATCTATTTTTCCTGATTCTGTTAAATGCCCTTTATTCCTACAAACAGCATTATTTCTCTTGCCAATTCATTTAGTCATTCAACAAAAATGTATTGAGCAAGTACTCTCAGCAAGGCATGGCGCTAGATGCCATGAGGAAATACTGAACCAATACAAAATTCCATTGGTAGTTGATGTTAGTTTTTCAAAGCACTTTCACATACAATTTTATTTTATCCTCATAGTAACACATGAGATAGGTGAAGTATCATCCCCATTTTACAGATGAGAAACAGGTTCAGCAAAGGACACACAAATTATTTACCAAAGTCACAAAGCAATGTACAGACGATTTAAATCCAGTTATTCACTAACTTCAAATATAGTGCCTTTCATAGCTAACAATTTAATAAGACATGTCATATAACAGTCTTAAGTGGCAAAAAGTTAGGAAAAGGCATTTAGAGCCCCACCCACCAGGAGAACAAAAATGAGGAATAAAGTAAATCCTTTATTGAGATGAGCCAAATCACAAGGCCCAAAAGGAAACCAAGCTTAGATGAAGTTCAGGCCATCATCTAGAAGGCAGGACAAAGTAGCAGGCAATGCACATTTCAGGATAGAGGAGCATTTTGGAGTATCAGTTTCTAGAGTATCAGTCCATTCCGTGGCTGATCTTCACAGGACATAGAAAGCAGCTCCTTCTCCTGGCTAAATCCAGGCAAACACTGAACAAACCTTGCCTGAAGACCCGTTATGATCCAGTCGCTGAGCATACAGAGACAACCCTTGACCTCAATGGTTCTCAATTGGCTTAGTGGGTGAGGCAGACAATTACAAGACAGAGTAATAAAGGCTACTATGGGAACATAAAGGAGGACACCTGGCCCAGCCTAGTAGAGAGGGTGGGACAGAAAAGAGGAAGGGGAGGGAGTTAAGAATTACTTCCAGAAAAAGAAATTCAATTTAAAGCCTGGAGGGTGGGCAGGAATTAGAAGGCTAGGGAAGTGAAATGGAGCCTAGAGCACAAAGAAGGAAGACAGGGAGTGCATTTAAGTCCTAAGGGTAAAAGAGTCATATTCAGGAAATTGTAAGGAGACCAGTTTATTAGGACATAACTTCAGTCCTAACCAGACTCTGGAAAGCTAAAGAGGAAAATAAAGAAAGCATCCAGCCAGATTGTGAGTTCAAAGCCAGTCTCAGCAAAAGCGAAGCACTAAGCAACTCAGTGAAACCCTGTCTCTAAATAAAATACAGAATAGGGCTGGGGATGTGGCTCAGTGATGGAGTGCCCCTAAGTTCAATCACTGGTACCCTCCCCCCCAAAAAAAAAGAAAGCATCCAAGGGCTGGGGCTGTAACTTAGTGACAGAGTGCTTGCCTAGCATATGTTGAGGCTTTGGGATTCATCCTTAGCATCACATAAAAATGAACAAATAAAATAAAGGCATGCTGACTATACACAACTACAAAAAAATTTTTTTAAAAAGAAAGCATCCAAGTCTCAAATCTTGTACGTCAATTCCTAGGCCTCTTAGTACCAAATATTACTCATACCGTATTTGCTGTTGGAGCTGTGGCTATTGATAATACTTCCTGCCTTGAGCCATACTGGTTTAAGAAATAGACTTAAGGTTGGGCTCAGCCATAGAAATAGCTGAGACCCGGGCTAGGGCTGTAGCTCAGTGGCAAAGCATTTGCCTAGCATGCCTGAGGCACTGGGTTCAATCCTCAGCACCACATAAAAATAAATAAAATAAAGGTATTCTGTCCATCTACAACTACAAAAAATAAAAAATGAAAGAAAAAAAAAAGAAATTGCTGAGACCCACAAAAGGGAAGAGGTGCTGAAACATGGGAAATTAAGACATGGATGATAATATGACCATAATACTGGACAATACTATACGAATTTACATGAACTAGACCACGGTGGGGAAACTATAGCCCATGGACCAATCCCAGCCTGTTTGTGTAAAGTTTTATTGGAATATTGCCATATTCATTCATGTACATATATTCTTTTCTTTCTTTTTTTTTTTTTTTTGTGTGTGTGGTGCTGGGGATTGAAACCAGGGCTTTGTGCATACAAGGCAAGCACTCTACCAACTGAACTATATCCCCAACCCCCTCATGTACATATTTTCTGTGGTTGCTTTTGTGCTAAAACAGAGTTCAGAGTTGTTGTTTTTTTAAAATATTTATTTTTTAGGTGTAGATGGACACAACACAATGCCTTTATTTTTATGTGGTGCTGAGGATCGAACCCGGGTCCCACCCGTGCTAGGCGAGCGCTCTACCGCTGAGCCACAATCCCAGCCCCAAGTTCAGAGTTTTAATGGAGATCAAATATACCCCACAGAGCCAAAAATATTTCTATCTAGTGCTTTACAGGAAAGAAAATTGCTGATCTTTGCACTTGAATATACTAAGTGCTAAAAAAGAGAGATTTGGAAAATGTTTAGTTGTGTGTGGCACAAAGGAGAAAGAAAACTAAAACATGTTAAGAATTTCTATTCCTAATCTCTACTATCAATAATATAGACATCAAAGGATGGCAAGATAATATTCGTTGATAATCATACAAAGAAATACTACGCAGCATTGAAAGATAAATGGAGTGTAGCTATAAGCTATAAGTTCAGAACGAATGTTATATGGAAAAAGCAAATCACAATATAAATATAATTTTATAACTTTTTAAATATATATGTATATTTTTAATTTTAGGTGAACACAATACCTTTTATTTTTATATGGTGCTGAGGATCAAACCCAGGGCCTCGCACATGCTAGGTGAGCACTCTACCACTGAGCAACAACCTCAGCCCTATCATTTGATTATTCTTAATAAATTATACACAATACATATTCTTTTATATGTATTAAAATTACTTAAAGATTTTCAAAGCAAGTTGCAACCTGTTGATGGCTAGAACATGTTGATGGTTGGAGAAAATAACTGACAGAGAAAGCAAATGACAACTAGTGCTGATTTTTGGAACATTTAAGATTGTCTTGTATCCCTGAATGCAAAAGGCCCTGGGTTCAATCCCCAGCACCATCAAAAAAAAAAGATTGTCTTATAGGGGGGCTGGGGTTGTGGCTCAGTGGTAAAGCGCTTGCCTGCCATGTGTGAGGCACTGGGTTTACTCCTTAGCGCCATATGTAAATGAATAAATAAAAGTATTGTGTCCATCTACAACTAAAAAAAATTTTTAAAGATTGTTTTGTACATTCCCTAAAATTACTCAGGGAGGAGGGGCATATTCCCCAACCTGGTGAAGAATGGACTTTCTATGGTCCACATAATGGGGGTTTAGTGTTGTTGTAATATGTATATTAATCATATCATATAAATCCAAAATTAATTTGTAGCATCAAGATGGTGATATCTGGAAATATATCAAAAGGAAAATAGTGTATGCAAAGACATAGATGCATGAGAAAGATCATGTACCATTTAGGCATACATAAACATTACCATCCTGGGTGGATATGTGCAGTAGTGCCGCAGTCTGGCTGGGCACAATCAGGAGCCACTTGTCAAAAGAAACTAACTTTATTTTTAGAACCACACACGACAAACAAAATAGTCTCTCAGGAAAAACCCTCAGAGCCTCAACTGCCACCACCGGCTTTCCCCAAGCCTCTCTCTCCCACCCAAGCTTCTCTCCACCTCCCACAATCCTCCTGCTCTTGAGGCCGATTGGCTGGGTCACGTGGGCGGAGCCAAAAAAGTCCCCCAATGAGCAGCTCCGTGGTCTGAAAGGGCAGGGA